GCTTCTACTTCAGCCCCAGCGTCGCCACCACTGCCACTGAGGAGTGTTGCCTCAAGCCCTATGTTGTGGCCAGCCACCCCAGCACCATAGCACAAAGCCCCAGCCACTCCCACCACCCTGCATCTGCAGGCCCTGCCACGCCCAGCTGACCTTCACTTTCTTCTTCCCGCTGCTGCTGAGGTACACCCGACCTGGCCCTGTGCGAGGCAGCTGCTGGCCATACCAGGCCTTCTTCCTGAGGCTGCATGCGCTGTTCTCATGAAGCTTCGGAAAGCTGAGGCCTTCTGAAGCATCATGAGAGGGAAGGAAGACAACGAAGGTCAACCTAGGGCAGTAAGACCTGTGGAGTGCAGGGCAGCAGGGGTGGCTGGGGCTTTGCGCTGTGGTGGCTGGCTGCAGTGTGGGGCTTGAAGTGACATTCCTTGGCAGCAGCACTGGGGCTAAAGTAGAGGCCTGGGGATGGTGGCGCTAGCTAAGACTACTGATGGCCCCGGAGCCTCTACTTCAGCCCCAGAACCACCACCACTTCCGAGGAATGCCGCTGTGCAAGGCAGGCAAAAGAGCAGAGATGGGGGAGATAGGTGGGGGGGGAGTTGAAGCACCCCTGCAGTCATAACTGCGGGTAGGCTGCCGAGTGCCCGAATTTTGATCCCATGACTACAGGGGTGCTGCAACAGCTGTAACTTTGGGGAACGGACAAGTACGATTCGTTCAGCTCTGCCATAACTTTGAATGGCCACTGAATGTATGGTTGTTAAGTAAGGACTACCTGTAGTTCCTGGTTTTCATGGACATGTAAATGCACTATGGATAAAGAAACTGTTCTTTTGATTAAAAGTCCAGACCATTAAATAAAAGAATCAAATGTGCTTGCCTCATTCTGTTGACATTAGAAACCTGTGCAGCATTGGTATGGTTCCGTATATTTAAATATAGAACAATATTTTAAAATTTACATAGTCTTCCTTTTTTAAAACAATGATTGCTATCAGGGAATACTTGTTTCTGGTTATAAATTAACAGCAGAATTCATCCAATTGTATTAAGTTGTATTTATTTCACTTGAAGAAGTTAAGTGTTTATTTGGTCTTCCTACTGAAATAAATGGAATACTAAAATGCAAAAAAACCCCAACAAACATTTTGTTTCATTTTCAAAAAATTTTGCTTACAACTGAACAAACACATCTTTCTAGATAATTTTCTTTTCTTTGCAGTGGCAAGTTTGGTTTATGGTTGGATGCTGATTTATATCATGGTCGGAGCAACTCTTGCAACACATTCAACAATGATATCCTTTCCAAAAAAGAAGACTTTGTTGTACAGGATGTGGAAGTATGGACTTTTGAATGATGTTCTTGTTGCCTTAAACAAATGGACTTTGGTTTCCTGAGCACTCAGTGGATATTGAAAATGGGAATGTAATTGCTTTGCAGTAGAATAGCCCTGGAAGACAAGCTGTTCCATGGTTACACAAGATTTTAAGGCAAAAATGGGAAAGACTGGTTTATATTAAAAGAAAAGAAAAAGGCAACTTAGTCAATATCTTATTTTTGTCCTGCCACCATTTCTGCAATATGAATGCAAGATGTTTATGGAAGACAATTGTGATGTATGTGTGTGTGTGTGCGTGTATATAAGCTTGTTTAAAGCAGTATCATTTTTTTGTAATTGTGAAAGAATACTGTGGAAAAACATAGAGCTGTATAGTAATAGTACATTCTCTGCGTATTTTTATTCAGTGAAAGTGAAAGCCAAAAAGAGGGAATAGTTGCATTACCAAATCCTACAGCCTAAAGTGGTAGTTTACTTGACAAAGTAGTAATTATGTATACAGCACTTAGAGATTTTTTTAAGTATATTTATTATTTGTAAAGTGTATTACTAAGTCTGTTTTCCTTTTAATATTTCAAATGTCAGAATTTCCTAGAAAGATTTATCATTTGAAGTAATATCTTAAACAGTGGTGAAAAATAATTTGATTTCTTAAGAGTTTTTATATTTTGTTTTTTAATTTTGTAAAAACATCTTAGTCATTTGTTCCAATTAGTTTTGGGATCTTGTTTTTTGACAGAACACATTATTCTGAATTATTTCAGCCAGGTGCATAGCTAGTGCCCTTTATTATTTGTTCAGTTGGATGATATATTCAGAGGGGGATCCTGTTTTTAATTGGTTATCAAGGTAGAAATGCCTTTGGAAAGATAAGCCATGTAGTTTGAAGCAGAAAATGGACTTTTAAGAAATTCCCTATAAATTACTTTAAACCTTTGCTAGAAAAAAAGATAAGCATCATGTCAAATACCTGTAGCCCTTTTTTTTTTTTTTAATAAAAAGTTGGATTACCTGAATAAGATTTTCAACCAAGTGTTGATTTTTGCTTTTTTAGCAAAATAATTATATTTCTTTCTGGTTAAAAAAAAACACAACTGTTTGAACAACATTTACATGTAGCCAAAGATTTAGTGAGAGATGTAGTTGAGGATATTTGTCCATTTGGTAAGAATAGGACTACAAGTTAATTTAAGCCAAAAAGTGTTTCTGTTTTGTGCTTCTGTGATAAACTCTATTCCTAAAGTTTCTATCAAAATATTTGGGCCCTTGACATTTCTTTAAAAAAAATCAAATTAAGTTGACATAGAGTAGAGAATTTTTAAGGTGTACTTCTGTGCAAATGTTGATCCTACTCTTCATCTGCCATGCTAAGCATCTGTGCAAAATCCACCTAGTCTGTAAGCTAGTTATATAAGCTTGGTGCTTTTCAGCAATGTGTCCCATTCATGATGACACTGTTTTCAGCTAACATGAGAATAATCATGAGTAAACATAAATATGTTAGAATCAGTCTAATGTTGATGAAATTGTGTTTTCATTCTTTCACTTCATATGGACTGGTTAGACTGCAAAAATTAATTGTACTTTCCAATTATCTTTTATGTGCAGAAATAAAAGGGAATTTAGCAATTGAATCTTAAGTTTATCATGTAAGTAACTACATGATACAGTGAAGTGTTTAGAAAACTTTGTGTATACAATCACATAGGGTGAACACACATCTGTTTTGGAGTATGTAGTTGCAATGGGAAATATGCTGGTAACTGAAGCTTGCTGCAGCATGTACATAAAGCAAAGTAAAATATATATATCACATGTACTGTACAAACTTAATTCCAGCACAGAAGTAATAATCTTGCTAAGACCTGGGACATTAGCTTTTTGCATTTTTTTCCAAGAGGTATTCTGACTATCCGTGCTACTCTGATAGATCACGACTGTAACAATGAGCTGCAATTACCTGACACATTGAAACACTTTGGGGTCTCTGAAATATGGTTCTGCTAAAAGATGGGACATTTGCAAATTTCAAGCAAAAGATTTTTGATATCTGAAATATCTTGGTCCTCTTATCTGCAATTTATTCATTATAGCTGTCAGAAACATGTGTTATATATTCCAAACAGTGTTGTCCTATCAAAATTCTATGATCCTTCAAAAACTGTGGATATTGAATATATGTAATGCAGTGCTACCGCAACATTTTCAAATAAAGGAATTAAGCATTCCTGTGTATTACCTTGAACTTTTTTTCTCCTTTCCTACATATTTAAAAATTTCCACGAAGTCCTGCATTCTGTCTTATTTTTTCTAAGACATGGATTGAGGGTGTGCTTTGTGGATGTAAGCTGCAAGGAATGTGTGAGTTGAGGGTGGAATAAGTTCTTTCCATGACTTATTGACTGTTCATCAGTGGTGCAGTGATGTTGAGCTTAGGCTTCTGGGGATCCAGGGGATCCTTTGTGCTGTGGCATTTGTGACTAGGTTACAGCAATTGATCAGCGAGGCTTCCTGCTGCTTGTGTGGCTTCCATCTGGCAGGACAAGTCTGGCACTGCTCCTGTGTGAGATTGCCAAGCTGTGTGTAGGTGAATGTGACTTGGGTTTGACATTGGGATGGATAGTAAGGTGGCCTTATCAACACAGGGTCTTTGTGTATGTAGCATATGAATTACATCAAGGTTAGTTTTAGTGGATCTGGAGATACACCTATGCACTGTTTAGGATCTTACAAGCTATAGCTATCTCTTTCCTTGACTGTCCTTGGTGTTCTAGGTGGCTGACTAAATCTTGGTCTGCCTGTTATAATGAGTGGTTGAGGGTGCTGACTGGCTGATAAATAAGCTAAGAACATGTCATGTATTTCCCAACATAAAGCCACTTCTCTCATGTCAAAGTCACCTGAATGTAGATATTTACCAATGATGATCAAGGCTAACATGGTCACATACCGAGACGCTCTATTCTTACCTCCTCAAAGCAAAAGTGGGAAAAGTCCATTTAAATCTTGGACTGGAGAGAATGCAAGCGGGAGGACGCAATAAAACTCGGATCGCAAGGTTACAGTATTCAGCTATTTCTGTAAATCGCAAATGAAGACAAGCGATTCCCGGAATTGCTTCTCCAGCTTTTTACTCTCCTCATATTGTTCGATACGTTTAAATAGATTAACCTCGCAAATCCGAATCCTGGAATGTTTACTAATCCAGGCATAAGCATTCGTGGATCAGAGCCCCTTGCATCAGCTGCGGGAAGCGTTAGCGCAATGAAAATAAAACGCCATGAGCGTCGTCACGGTGCTCCTCGAGGTACTTGATCGCTTTTGCAGCGGCTGCACCGGGTAGCAAAATATAAATCGAGGCCAGGAAGTTGGCTGCAGAAGAATGGTGGACTGTTCCCGCCCATTTGAGAATGAAGATGAAATCCTGCACGCACCTTCCTTCCTCGCCGAACTCCAATGGACGTGGCAAGAAATTAGACTGGGGGGCTCTTTTTGAGTAGTTCCATTAAGTAAAGCGAGCCGCCCGAGTCTTTTCCCGAACCGAGCGAAGCGTGATTTTCGACCGCCGCCTGGCTACCTGATTCCCGGTCCAATCAAAGGCCGCCTCGAGGGGCCGCCTCTTTGCCTTCACTCCATAGGCTGGCGAGCTTAGCGCGATGAGGAAGGGCGGAGGCGGGGAGCTGGCTGGGCCGCTGACCGGCGGCGGGCGCTGCCGGGCCCTCCCCCCTCCCCGGCCGCTGACCGAGCGGGAGGTCTGCCCGAAATAAGGGCCCCGATGGCCGGCGAGCAAGGAGGGAGCTCGGGCTCGTCTCCCGCTGCGACGCCGATAGCTGGCGCGGCGGGGGAGGAGGACGGCGGCTACGACAGCAAGTGCATTTTCTGCCGAATCACTCACGGGGAGGAGACGGGCACTGAGCTGCTGCCCTGCGAGGTGAGGAGAACCAGCCCAGCCCTCCGAGGGGGCGGCACGAGGCCGCTTTGCCCGGCTGGAGCGAGGCGCATGACCCCAACCCGTATCTCTCCTCGGTGTTCACAGGACGAGTGGCTTTGGGGATCGGCTCCCTTTTGACTGCATGGTGCCGAAAGGTCACCTTGGGCTAAGGAGGGGCGCTGAGGGGGCGCTTAATGTCGCCGGCTCTCTTTGGAAGGCAAAACCCCACCCAGAAGGAGCAGCCGAATAGGGCATCCTGATCTCCCTCTTGCAACAGAGGCTGGAAAAAGGCAGGAGAGTGAGAGCCGCCCTCCCCCATTAGGAGACCGCTGGAAAACCCATCTCTTTGCAGTAGCCCCCCGGTGGAAAACTCCTCTCTTTGCAGGAGATAAGACAATGGGTGCCTCTGGCCTCGCCTCCTGGGCTGGATCCCGCGATGGGAAATTGGGCAGTCTTGAGCTTAGTTAAGCTGGAATTCGCTGCCTGCAGTTGTGGCATTGGCGGCTAGGTTGGATGGTTTTAAAAGGGACTAGGGAGGATCAGACTGTCAGTGGCCACTACACTCATGCCTGTTCGCTATTTCCTGATCCGTAGGCAGCATGCCTTGAATCCTAGTTGGCGAGAAACAGCAGCAGAAAGGGTCGGGTCGCTGCCTTCCAGCCGATGCATTTGTGAGCTTCCCAAATGGATCCTCCAGATTACTCTGGGACACAGGATATTAGACCAGACAGGCCAGTGGCCTGATTCAGTTGGGATCTTTCAGTGTTCTGCTTTGCCTGCCTGCCTGCTCTCTCTAGCTGGGTAGCGCAGCAGTTAGAGGGTTAGTCATAGAAAGCACACACACTTGCTCCAGAGGTAAACACTTTTTTGGGCAGAGGGGTACTTATTTGATAGTATGTCATATCAATGATCATTATCATAATGATCAATGATAATTATTTTGTGAGAGTACCAGTGACATATATAGGCATGGCCAGTCAAAAAACATTCATTTTCCAGAAGGTAAAACTCTTAAGGCTGCTCCCTGCTGCGAAGTTTCTCTCTACTATGACTTACCCCATTGTCTTTCTTTCCCCAGCAAGTGGGCAGATGTCCGAGCAAAGCATCTTGTAGGGGTGAGGCTTAGGGTTTCTAGAATAGAAGATAGTGGATGGTATTCTCTTCTCCAGTCAAGCTCAATTCCTGGTATCCTCATGGATGCTCATATTGTTTTATCTGCAACCCGTGGCCAGATCTGACCCATTTATGAACTTGATTTTTGCTGTTGTTGGCTTTTCCCATCACACTACATTTGGTCGTATTCTGTTTTGTTTTCAGAGAGTTATCCTGGTGATAGACAAAATTCTGAGCTTCTTTACATACTTTACTTTTTCAGTGTTTTTTTGGGTTGGAAAGAATAAAAAGTACTTCTATAGACAGTCAGGTAGAGCAGAGAGCATGACAGATTTTCAGATGTTACTTATAATTAGACCTGCCACATTCCTAGCAGCTACTTTTAAACTGAGATTTCATTGAACTCTTGTGGCTGATAAATCACCACTCTAATGCATGTGCAAATTTGACCCCTTTTAATGTCATCAGAGATTATTTTCTTAGTGAATGGAATTCTACAATGCAGACCTGTATATCCTACTCACTACATCATTCACCTGTGTTCAGTAAGGTTTATTCCCATATAAGAGTAAATAAGACTAGAGGAGTACCAGTTGGAGAGTTTCTAGAATACCACCATTTTTTAAAAAAATGCAACCATTTCATTTTTCTCTCCTTAGCATCTCTCCATAGAACAAAAATGAAAGGAGTGATGGAAAAACATTCATGTATTTAATTCTTTACTAAATTTATAATCTGCCTTTCCTCCAGGAGCTCATGACAATGTATATACCACTTCCTCTTCCAATGTCTTCCCACATGACTATCAAGTAAAGTAGGTTGAGCTGAGAAATTAACTAGCCCATTAATATTCATTCATCCTAGCTCAACAGACAGGTAAAAGAGGTAGAAGTCAAAATGATTGACAGAGTGAATTTAGGAGTGAATTTAGGAGGTTTATAAAGATGCTGTTGTTTGAATCCCAACAAAGTTTCACAAAGGAGCAGGATGATTACACAATAAAAGCCTAATTTGGAAGCACCCAGCATCTTTCAGTTTTCAACAGTAGCCCAGAACCAGTTGTGGATTTTACATTTCACCACCACAGTATATACATATGTGTATATATGTGTGTGTGTGTGTGTATATATATATATATA